GAGACAGGGTTTCTCTGTGTAGCTTTGCGCCTTTCCTGGAACTCACTTGGTAGCCCAGGCTGGCCTCGAACTCACAGAGATCCGCCTACCTCTGTCTCCCGAGTGCTGGGATTAAAGGCGTGCGCCACCACCGCCCGGCAGTTAGTTAGGCTTTATATTATGTATTAGCTAACATAGGCAAGCCCTTACAAAAGGTGAGAGAATCACCCAAAATAATGAGTGTTTGAAAATGTCAGCAATAGGGGCTGAGAAGACAGCAGTTAGCAAAGCTACTGCCATGCTTGCATGAGGGCCTGAGCTCGGTCCTCACAATCTATGGCAAAAAAAAGCCAGATGTTGGCACATGCTTATAGTCCCAGATGGGTAGGTGGGAAGAGCATCCCTGGCCACCCAGCAGAGGTTACTAGGTAAACTCCAGGCCGACAAAAGACCATCTCAAAAGCACGGTAGATAGCTTCTCTGGAATGATACCCAAGGCTGTCCTCCGGTCTGCACACATGCGCTTGCGCACACATACATAGACATGGGAGAGATAACCAGGCAAATGAGGACAGAAGGAGGGTACCTTGGAAGGAGTTCATGTTTAATTGTCTTCAGGTGCAACAGAGAATTTTCTTCTTCTTCAAATTTAAAAATTTCCACTGTGTTCTTGAATTCCGGGTGGTTCACAACAAAGAGATAAACGGTGTCATCTAAAGGATGGACAGAGCAGAGTTAGATCATAAGACATACACACAGGACCCGGGGGCAGGCACTGACACTTGAATACCACATGCATGGGAAGGCTGAAGGCACAAGCTGTTCAATACCCTACCAGATCTTTTTTTTTTTTTTTTTTTTTTTTTTTTTTTTGCTAGACCTTCCGGCTACCATTGGCCTGGCATTAATCCTGATCACTGGTCCCCTGACCTTTAAGAAGGAGTGGCCCCCCCTCTATATACAGAATTCATGCATAATGTGTTCATAGGCTCAATGGGAGACCCAGCTCTTTTTAATCCAGTGGTCACAGGTATATGAAAAGGTCAGGACATCTAAACATTCTTTTAGTTGTTAATTGCTAGACATTTCAAAATGCAGCAGAGTGCACTGCCAGCCTAGGAGACCTGTGAACCAGCGGCTGATGGGAAGAACACAGGCCTGTTTCATGAGGTCACTGTCCCCTTCGTGTGTGTGTGTGTGTGTGTGTGTGTGTGTGTGTGTGTGTGTGTGTTTCAAGGTTATTTTCCACAGCGCCCCACTGAGCACTGTGTGTTTCTTCACCTCGGTAGCTCATCAGCTCTTACCACCATCTATGAAAGTGCTAATGCCATGCGGGTTAAATGAAGCCAGATCGAAGCCCCAGCTGACTCTTAATTCCAGTGCCCTGGGTTTTTCTTCTTTGAGATCCATCATCAGTATTCCTCCAGGCTTATCTGGTGCAAAGCTGTGGAGCCCTGGAAACTTGAGGCCCTTTGGAAACAGTGGGAGGAAAAAATGAAACACAGAGGCTTAAGCACCCTCTTGAGTCAGGTATGTACTGCACATGAATGATAAGCAGCATCACTTAAAGTTGGTGGCACAGAGCCACAGATACAAAGAAAAAGTCGGGGTGGACAGGTAGGCGCACCAAGGAAACAGAACAAAAGAAGAAAGAGACCTGGGAGCTGGAAAGATAAACAACAGATCATTTTGTTGAGCTCTGACAGATGACTCAGATTGGCTCTCTGGAACAGCTACCAAACAGGGGGTGGACTGAGAGACTCCAGGCAGAGCTGAGGGTCAGGAGAGCAGAAGGTCACATATGAACTGTGAAAACCCTCACATCCCGAGCCTGCACTCTGCAAGAGGCTGGAAGGCTTGAGCAGGGTAGACAACTGGTCAGTGAAGTCTGTTGGTGATACATTGAAAGACATTCCTTCGTACAGAGATGGGTAGTTTACTCCACTCCTCCATGGCTACCCCCACTGATATTTCAGGACCAGGAAAACAGCTCCTTTGCTTCGGCCTTTATTTCCTGATGTCTATGTTCCCTCTGCATCCAGATTGTGGCAGATTGTGACACACCTTTAACCAAAAGGCTAATGGCTTCCCACCTCAGTCTTGTTACAAGAAAAGATTTTAGGATGGCTTGAAGGCTCTTTGTGGCAGGTCTTTCTCACCCTCCCTACCTCCCATGCCCATCTCTCATCTCATCCCATGACTTTCTTTCATACGCATTAATGCCTTAGGCATCCAGGTCTCCTGACCCTTCTTGATAAGCAGGCATGTTCTCACACCAGAGTTTACTCACAGAACCACTGCCCAGGAATGCTTCCCTGCAGAGATGCAGGGCTCCATCCCTCAGTTTATCTACATTTATTCCAGATGTCACATTGCCAGTGAGGCAGCCTCCATTTGCGACATCCACTTGACCTGGCCTTTCCTCTTCCTCTGGCTTCCTTTTCTCCATCCCAACAGTGCCACTCGAATGCATACGTATTAATGCCTACGTGAGTACTAGGTGGTAGATACCATTGCTGGGGCAAGGGAGAAGTATATACGGTGGTGAGATTACCACCTCCACCCAGCTTGTTTGCCCAATCCTCGGGGCTTGTGTACTGTCTTTGCCATGCACAAGTCTCTTCTCACCAAATGGGCAAGATTCACACTCTCATCCACCTGAGTTCAGGGCAATGTCCTGAACCACACAGCTCTCATCTCCGTTCCCAAAGTGACAGCATGATGCCACACGCACCAGAACTGTCATTCTCCACTGCCCCATTGCTATCTCATCTTGGCCAGAATGGTAGGAACATAAGCTAGCACTCTTTTCTATTTCCTGCTAGAGCCCAGGACCTGGAGCATGGCAAATAACTCAATCCATAGTGTCTCCTTTCCCCTGTCCTGAACCATCATTTTCATATTGGCCTGTTAGGGGACTCTCTATTTTGTTCTTTTGATGTCTATTATGTATTCTGGTACCAATCCCCGCCCCCCCCCAACATACTACTTCTTAACCACCAAGTGAGTACCTGTGTCTGAATGGAACATGGCTGATCACTTGGTCTTTGGTATAGTGTGGGGAAAGCTCTGGCATTTTATATGTTCCTTTTGAGCCCACATCTTCTCTAATTACTAACAGTCTGTTAGTTGACTCTCTGGGTTGTTTAAAAAAAAAAAAAACAGAGGTTCACATTATCTGAAAATAATGGCCATTTCTGTCTTTTTGGTCTCTACCTCACATTTCTTTTTCTTGTTGTATTAGGTTATTAGGTATTCCAGTTGACTGGCAATCATTTTGGGATAAACACTTTGCCATCCTCTTGAACATCAGTGGGAATATGGTTTACACTTTACTGTTAAGAATGGTGCTTGCCAATAGTGAAGAGGGATGCCTGAACTGGCCTACCCCGGTAATAAGATCGGTGACTACCCTAACTGTCATCATAGAGCCTTCATCCAGTAACTGATAGAAGCAGATGCAGGGAGCCACAGCCAAACACCAGGCTGAGCTCCAGGAGTCCAGTTGAAGAGAGAGAAGAGGGATTATATGAGCAAGGTGGGTCAAGATCATGATGGGGAAATCTAAAGAGACAACCAAACCAAACTCATAGGAACTCACAAACTTTAGACCAACAGCTGTGGAGCCTCCATGGGACTGGACTAGGCCCTCTGCATAAGCAAGACAGTTGTGTAGCTTGGTCTATTTAAGGGACCCCTGGCAGTGGGATCAGGATCTATCCCTGGTGCATGAGCTGGCTTTCTGGAGCCCATTACCTATGGTGGGATGCCTTGCTCAGCCTTGATGCAATGGGGAGGGGCTTGGACTTGCCTCAGTTGAATGTACCAGGCTTTGCTGACCCCCCATGGGAGGCCTTACCTTGTTGGGGGGGATGTAGGATGGGTTGGGGGGAAGAAGTTGGGGAGAGAAGGAGGAAAGAAGAGAGGGGCATCTGTGGTTGGTATGTAAAATGAAAAGAAAAATTTCTTAATTAAATAATAATAATAATAATAATAATAATAATAGAATGGTGCTTGCTAGCCAGGCAGTGGTGGTACATATCTTTAATCCCAGGACTTTGGAGACAGAGGCAGGCTGTGAGACAGAGGTGAGTTCAAGGCTAGCCTAGTCCACAGAGTGAGGCCTGTTACACAGAGAATCCCTGTCTTGAAACACCCCGCCACTGCCGCCCAAAAGAATGGTGCTTGCTGTTAGTTTCTGGGGATTCCTCTTATTTCCAGTTCCCTTGGAACTTTTAACTGAGTGAGTTTTGAATGTACTAACAGCTCTTACCCATTTGCAGAGATGGTCTGGGTTATCTAGCTAACTATAAGATGAAGAGTCCTCCTGCTATTCTTAAAGGAAGCCTTACTGGTGATAATAAACTGTATGAGAACTCACCACTGTATGCAGTTTACTAATGCAATGTAGCCACGATTTACGTGAATTTAAGGGCACAATAAAAACACTCATAATAAAGACTGATGTTATGCCCAAAAATGGACATAAGAAGAAATTCTTAATTTTTAACATCTATCTGTGATTGCCTACTTTCACGCTGGCTGGCCCAAGAAGCAGAATAAACTACCACTGTGTCAGTACTTCATACCAACCCTGTGCCAGCAGTTAATAATCCTCTTTCTTCACTCATGTCTCTCAACAGTAATGTGTCTCCATCACCAGGTAGCACTACATAGAGTATGATAACTATTTGTAATTACAGTAACAGCCTCAACTATTCCAGTATCCCTCTGCTTTTAAACATTTGTTTTGTTTTTATTTTTATATTTTATTTTTTCAAGACAGGGATTCTCTGTATAGCCCCGACCATCCTGGAACTCATTCTGTAGACCAGACTATGCAGCTGGGAGACAAAGGGCAATCGATCAGTTAGCAGAGACTCTTCAGCTCTGCACTCGGAAAAGCTGAAGGACACTGCCCAATCCAACCTGCCCTGTCTTTTTCTCCGAATTTACTTTGAGAGGTGAGGAATTTAAAATCTGTTTCTACGCTATGGGCTTAAATGAACAGCCTGGTCTGTGCCTGACTGTGTGGGGGACAAGAAGATGCTACTCACCACACTAAAGAAAGCCAGACCATTGGGAAGAATGTCAATGTCCTCAGCGCCAGCTTCTGCAAGTTCAAGGAGGAGATAAATGTCATTATCAAACTTGGCTATTGGTTTAAGATAGCATAACTGTGGCTTTGTTTACTTTATCTATTTCTTTAGGGATGGTTCCAATTTCTTTTCCAAGGCACTATTGTTTTTAATAAATGTCAGTCTCAACTCTCTCCCACAGTGAACTTCTGACTTTAAATGCTAGATATTTTATGTTTACTCAAATCAAAGTCAAGTTATCACCACGTTTTCAAGTTCGATACAGAACAAGTTGACATCTGCACACTTGTAGGGTAAACATCCAGATGTCTATGTAGAAGTAATTGACAACAGGGGAATATTACTTCCACAAGGAAGGGCCCACAGTCATTTAACCATGCAAATCTCCTGTCCCCCTCGCTGCTCATTCAGTCTGAAGCAAAAAGACATTTTTCTCATTAACAGAGAGAAAACACCTGGGATTACATACTCCCTCTCAAAAAAAAAATGGAAAAGAAAAAGTGGCTATTTGTTCTCATAAGCAAATAAAACTTCCAATTTAATCTTAAAGTTATAGGAAAAACTAGCAAAATAAAATGAATGACAAGTGCGGTAAACTTATGCCCACCACAGCTTCTGATTCCAGTCCCTGGGCTAGGCTACAATTACTATTGATTGTTATTGATTGTCGGCAGTAACCTCCACACAGTATAGCAAAGAATTAGGCAAAAGACCTTCCCCACGGCCTCACTGTACACATTTCGCAGACAGATAATAGAGATCCAAACACAAGAAAGGGATAAAAATGGCTTATATTAAGCCAAATCATGACTCATTCTTTCAGTCCACAAGATCTAATCTTCCTCCTTAAGACCACTCCAAAGGTTACGGCTGAGAAAATTTCTAGGCTGTCAAAACCAAAAAGCATTTATGCCACTGTTCAGGTTTTGATTCATGACCCTGCCCATAGGTGGCTTTTGCCCCCCTGTATCTCTTACCTGATCATAGAACAGAAAAGCAAAAAAACCTAATTGAGAACACAAGGAAGTTTACTTTATAACAGTGAGCCCCTGTCAGCTCCTCAGAAGGAAGTCTTAGTACAAAAGATGCTTAAGCATGTTCTAGTGGTGGGGAGGGGACCTTGGGTCCCTGGAGGGCCACAGACAGGCTTTGGGAAATCTATGAGTATGCTGAAGTTCTGCACATTGAAAAATGTATTGTTTATTTTGCAGATGAGAACTTTTCTGTGACAAGGGTTCTTGATTTATAGCAGATTCATGCAAAGGGCTGTGATAAACTCCAAATGTCTAAGAACCACCAAATATCCTGGTATGTTCAACTTTTGACATTAGATGCTATGTAGTTATTATCACATCTACGAAGCTCATGCTTGAGTTGAAAGAAAAAAAGAGAGCCGGGCAGTGGTGGCACATGCCTTTAATCCCAGCACTCGGGAGGCAGAGGCAGGCGGATCTCTGTGAGTTCGAGGCCAGCCTGGTCTACAGAGC